AGCATTCCTGATAGAATTTTCCAAAGACAGAGAAATTGCCAGTGAGAGTTAAGTTGCTTGACAAAATTCTAGAGCAGCGGGGCACCTGGGTGGCTCAGTGGGTTAAAGCCTCTGCTTTCGGCTCAGGTCATGATCTCAGGGTCCTGGGATCGAGCCCCACATCGGGCTCTCTGCTCGGCAGGGAGCCTGCCTTCCCCCTCTCTCTCTGCCTGCCTCACTGCCTCCTTGTGATCTCTGTCTGTCAAATAAATAAATAAAATATTAAAAAAAAAAAATTCTAGAGCAGCTAGCTTGTAAGCAATTAGAAAAGAAAATAGTAATTTTTTTTAAATTTTATTTATTTGAGAGACAGAGTGAGAGAGTATGAGAGGGGAGGACAGAGGGAGAGGCAGACTCCCCATGGAACTGGGAGCCTGATGTGGGACTCAATCCCAGGACTCCAGGATCATGACCTGAGCCGAAGGCAGTCGCTCAACCAACTGAGCCACCCAGGCGCCCCAAGAAAATAATAATTAAAGGACCCACTGTATATTCACTAAGTCAAATTGAACTAAATACATTTCATATTTTAGCACATTTAATGGACCGGTAGATGAAGAATTGTTACTCTTGTGAACAATATGCAAGAGCTGGAGACTAGAATGTTTAAGCGTATTCGTAAGTGGTTTGATAACTGTACTCAATTAGTAATAGATGAAATCTGACTAAAGCAGTCTTTAATGATTTGCTCCTGGGCTGCTTTGGTTGTGTGCAGTAAGGTCAAGGCCTTGTTTATCCAATTTGCAAATGAGTCTTGGAGTGATAGCTAATGTGTTGAATGCCAAAATTAAAATTCAAAATACGTATGTAGCAACGAGCCAAAACTACAAAAAGAAAAAGGAAAATTTACTAGTCACAAACGGACAGTCCTAAATTATGAAAAATATTTTAGAGGTTATAACTGATACAAATTGCTATCAATGCTCATATACTCTTGAACAGTTTTGGTGAAAATATGGTTTCTAAGACAATGCATATAACAGGGGTGCCTGCATGGCGCAGTCCATTTAGCGTCTGCCTTCAGCTCAGATCATGATCCCGGTGTCCTGGGATCAGTCCTGCATCAGCCTCCCTGCTCAGCAGGAAGTCTGCTTCTCCCTCTGACCCTCCCGCTTTTCATGCTCTTTCTCTCTCACTCTCTCTCAAATAAATAGAAGTTGTTTTTTTTTTTTGTTGTTGTTTTTTTTAATTAAAGACGACAAGTTTTGGCGAGGATATGGAGAAAAGGATGCCTTTGTGCACTGTTAGTGGGAATTGCTAAAGCAGTATAGTCACCATGAAAAACATTATGGAGTTTTCTCAAAAAATTAAAAATATAACTGTCATATGATCCAGCAATTCCATTTCTGGGTATATATCCAGAGGAAATAAAATCAGGATCTCAAAAATATATCTGCACTCCCATTTCACTGCAGCATTTCTAATAGCCAAGACATGGAACAACCTAAGTGTGGAAACACACACACACACACACACAGTTACTCAGCCACAAAAAAAGGAAATCTTGCCATTTCCAACAACATGTATAGATGTTGAGGGCTTTATGGTAAGTGAAATAGGTCAGAGAACGGCATATACTGTATGACCTTATTTCTACGTGGAATCTAACAAAAACCAAACTCAAAAATTGAGAACAGACTGGTGGTTGCAAAGAGATGAGGGAGATGGGCAAAAATGGGTGAAAGTGATCAAACAGTACAAACTTCCAGTTTTTAAACGAGTAAGCCATGGCAATGTAATGTACAGTATGGTGACTATAGTTAATAATAATACTGTGCTGTATATATGAAAGTTGCTAAAAGAGTAAATCTTAAGTTCTTATCACAAGAAAAAAAATTTGCAACTATGTGATGGACGTTAACCAGACATATTGTGGTGAACATTTCACAATATAAATATTTAATGACTATGTTGCACACTTGAAACTAATGTTATGTCAATTTTATCTCAATTAAAAAGACACAAAATCAGAAGTAGTAATTTTGTTATTTCTGATCAGATTAAAATGTAGAATTATGAAGTTATTTTGTGGAGATCCCTTAGATGGGATGTCATCAGGCCATAGCCTGAAAACATTCTGGAAAATCTCAGTAGCTCAGAAAGTGCTCCTCTTGGCTCCACAGCACTAACTTCACAGACTTAATCAATTTTTTTTTTTTTTTTTTTTGCTAAGCCATCCTTTCTGTTCAGCTTAATCTTCCCCATAAATTGCCAGAGTTCTGCAGCTTGCCAACAAAAGCTTAAATTTCAAAAGTCAGGGTGCAAAAAAGCAAAAAAAAAAAAAAAAAAAGAAGCAGCTTTCTTGGGAACTTTAATCTGCCTAATCTGGTATAAACTACTTGTTTTTCCATAGTATACCTAAAGCACCTTCTTGAAGTATCCAAACTGCAAAAAGCACCAGCTAGTACACAAGAATGAACTTTCCCACAACAAACAGGTAGACAATGGAAGCATGCTTGGATTAAAAGATTTTTACTTTACGTATAGTTTTAAAAAGAAACAATACAATTTGCTTAAGGATGTTACTTTAGTAAGATGTTTGTTAGAAGGGCTTTTTGGTTTTTGGTTCTTTTTTGTTTTTAAGGAATAAATTTATATTAGTAAACATCTTGATTAGATTCCAGGTGAAGGAATAGCCAGTCATAGGTGGGAAGTTATGTCTGTCAGTTCTATAAGAGCATTTTCTACGACTATTTTTGTTAATACAGCTCAACTACATAAATGTTTAGAAGATTACTGTTTTCATATATTTAGGATCATATGCTATGGCAGAATTTTTTTTACACCAAAAATTGGAGTGTCATGGGGATCTGAGACCAAGAAGGCTGAGAATTGTTGGTCTAATGGACCTAAAATTACTTTATAAACATAAAATATGCTCTTAAAAAAAAATAAAAATAAAAATAAATAAAAAATATGCTCTTAAGGTGCAATATATCAATTCTATCTAGAAACAGAATAGCAAAGTTAGCATAAAGTAATGTCAACACTCGTGAATATTTCAAAAAGTTCAGAAAAACTAAACACTTTAAGACTACTGAATAACCTATATAAACATATATAAGCTATTAAAATGATTTAATAATATTACAAAATAAATTTTCTTCTAGACAGTGGTTTCTTCATGTTAATTATTGGCTAAAAACTAGGCATGTTAAAAATAAAGTGGGTCATAATGCTCAAAGTGAGGACTATAAACACCTGTACGACATCTGAAAGTTAAGAGAGTAAATCACAAGAGTTCTCATTACAAGGGGGGAAAACCCCCCATTTTTCTGTACGTATAGATAGGTGTTAACTAAACTTACTGTGGTAATCATTTCATAATACTGGCCAATCAGTAATTATGCTATACACCTTAACCTTCTACAGTGCTATACGTCAATTTTATCTCAATAAAGTGGGGGGGGGGCTGAATAAATTTCTCATCAATAAATCCTGGGCATACATTACTTAGTATGATTATCAGCTGATTATTCTTCATAATGATTATTCTAAAAGACATACTGTTTTTATTTAGAAAGCCTCATTATCTATTGAGCGTTTGTACTTCTTGGAGACAAACACAATGTGTCAAATCTTCCTGCAAAAGTTGAGGATAACAAAAACTAATAACCCTTTAGGATCTATATTGGGAAAGGAGGAAAACATTACTCGACTTTCCTGGCAGGATTGATTGAGACCGGACAGATATAAACATAATTGGTAGATCTGGACTGAATACACAGGAACAGTAAAGATAACAAGCATTTTGTGTGTTAGCACCCTGAATCCTCACAACCCAGAAAAGTGAGAGGCTAAGTAATTTGTCCAAAACCATGTTAAGTGTCAACCTGCAGGATCATCAAAAACATTCTAACCCAAGAAACTAGGCTTCTTTTGTATCCTCTGTAACCCCCCTTTAGTTTCTCTTGGTGCATTACTCAATTCCCAGGAAATAGAATGCTTTGTAAAATCCGCTGCCTACAAAATGCTCTGCAAAGAGAACATCCTCCATGCAGCTTAGGAAAAAGGTCAAACAGGAGCTGTGGAAGGCCACTGCCTCCTCTCTACCTGTCTTTCCCCAGTTATAGTGGGACAGGGTGGGGCGGTGGGTTGGGGGGGAGCCAGTTTTCAGTTTTTACCTAGATCGGCTCCTGTGAGTGCCAACATTCATGAAAAGAACCATTTGCAATGTATCTAACAATTCACAAAAGCTACCATTCAGCTTTTTTATTTTGGACAAAAGAAAAGTTACTGTAGGTAGCGGTTGACAAAATTAAGACGTACATATAAAAACCTCAAAACAATGTTAAGCAAAAATAGCCAGATATAATTTTTACTGTCCTTCCTTTTCTATAAAGTATAAAAGCAGGCAAAACCACCTGTGGTATTAAAAGTTTGTGATGGTAACGAGTTATGACTGCAAGTAGAAATAAGGGGATTTACGGGATTCTAGTGATGTTTTTCTAGTTCTGATTACTGAGGCTACTGTTTACTTTGTGCACATTATCATGCATTATTTTGCCACACTGACAGGTAATTTCTTTCATTCACCTTTCCTTTGTTTCTTCTCCCTCTCCATAGAACAGCTATAATTCATCTGATTGGGTCTAATCCATATCCACTCCCAGGCCCTGCTCATTTTGAATTCTGTAATCATATGTCCTTGACCATTATACTCTCAAGAATTCCTATTAACATAGGAAACTGTATGGTATAGTGAATGCAAGTTTGCCAGGTAAGTACATAATGGAATACACACATTTATCTTTCTCATTTCAAGGGTGGGAGTGTGGCAACGGTCACCTCTCTCAGCCCCAGGATTGGACAACTGCTGTCAGATTAGAGGGGGAATGCAGGTGGTAATACGCATTTTTGGAGGCTCCTGTATTAATTTCTTAACATTAACTCATTCCCATTCCACACTTTTTTCAAAATTGTACTGCATAATCAGAAAATTATATTGACACTAAGTGGTATCATGGAATGAGTACTTTATTCATGTTTCTATCATCAGTTTTATACTACATGTATTTACATGTTTTCTGGGTCACAAAGGCTAAAATGTCATCAGCTCCTCAAAAGGTTTATTCTTTTGAGCAGCAGCCGTAACAGATTTCCATAAAAGTTATGATTCAATGAAGATTATAGTTAATACTTCTTAAGCAACCCAAAAGGTATATGACATTGTATTTGGCAAGATGTTCTTACAACCCTAATATCTTACTTAAGGGTAACTTCTCCATCTAAAAGTGTTTATTAACCAGTTAACTAGCTTTCTGCCTGGTTGCTAACAGGATTTGAAAATCTTGCGGCATAAACACTTGACAAATAGCCTTATAAATTGATTAACATTTGAAATAAAGATAGAATAGGTTTATAAAGTTAAATGCAACGTATAGCATCAGCATGTGGTAGCTTTCTCCTATCCACTTTTTCAAGAGCAAAATAATGAGTTATCTCCTACATGTCTTCCAGGGTGAGTTATGAGAATTAAATGCTATCATGTTTGCCTCTAGACAAAATTTTAATTAGACACACAAGTAGGAGAAAACCACTTTTAATTGAAAAATAAAGCAATACATCTCAAATAAGACTCTGTTTAACAACATAAACTGTAACTTGCTGAGGGAAATCGCTTTCCTAGAAGTGGTATTGTGAAATTTGGGTATCAGCAATCAATAGTTTCCCTCCTTTATTTTGACTCAGCTATAAGCATATTAAAAATAAGGACTTTCTCATTAATTTAAACTGCAAATCTGTAAAGCTTGTCCCCATTCCTAACCCACTGACAAAAGGTGAGATTAAACAAACATTTCCATACTGAGGAGTTCCCAGGTAATAGCAAATAGGCAATATTTTCCTTAAGAAAAGTTTATAGGAAAGACACACAAGACTATTATTGATATTTAACTAATCCACAAACTTCCAAACACAATTTCATCAAGATGATCTCTACTACAATTTTCCTTTAAAGAAGTTCTCAAATCTCAGAATGGTTTAAAACTTGATATACTAGAAGTATTAACTTTGAAAGAAAGTAATAAAGTTATTGCTTTAAACTGGAAAAACCTATGGTCAAAAATCTTTTTAAAAAGAGTCCATTAACAGCTATTCTTACAATTACACTCATGTAACTGCAGAGAAAATGTTCAAGCACATAGTAAACATCACTCTTTCGAATGACAGAACAAAGGCATATGCTCATCAAGATGTATGGCTTTTTGGTGATTGTTATTACTACCATAGTCATTGTTTGACTGAAAAAGGTTTTTACAAAACTCCACTTTCAAAATTAACATTTTTATTAAATCAAGTTAAAAAAAATGTTCACTGTAGAAAAGTCAACAAGGGTTTTAACAAAACCAAAATATACCCTTTCATACAATATATGTATATATTAGCAGCAAACTATTTCTGAGATTTTATGTTCTTTTAGTTATTTTAAAGAAAGCATAAACATAAACAATGCATATTAGTATGGAATGTCAGCTAATACACACTTCCTCTTTCATTCTGTGATTTAGGCCTTCTAGTACAAGTTATTTTATGATTCTTATTAATAAATACTAAGAACAAACCCAGTGTTGACTAAGAAGTAGTGAAACAGAGTGGCTGGTAGCATCAATCTCATTACTTCATAGTCATGCATTATCTTTGAGAATAACAAATGAGCACCATATAAACAAGGTAATTATGTGTGTAAATCAACTTTAAGGTGTAACAGTAGCCAACTAAACCACTTAGCATTTGGCCGTTACTTTTTAAAAATTTGGTGATATAAAAAATTTTAATCAAATCAGATATTCAATCCCATATTGCTTGTCCATTTTTAAAATCTTAATAGAAATTCTGTATATAACCTGACAAATTGCATGCATATGTGTGTGTAAATACATAAAAAAGTGTATGCATATATACATACACATCTTTAGCTTTCAATGAGTTTCTAAACTGAAATGAAACCAAACCTTTCATTTAAACATACCTGTAGAATATGATATCACCAACTGGGAGTTTCTAGTCAAAGTTTCATCTTAGCTAAAGAGAAATACCGGCTAGAAAATTTTGAGGACAAAGAGCTATAATTTTGCTTAATATACTTTAGGCTTACAAATTAGTCGGCCAAACAAACAAGATTTGAAATTACCAACCTCCCACCTAAGAAATAAATTTTTCTCTTAGTATTTCCTTCTAAGGCAAAAAGGAAATACCTTTACAATGAACTTTCACTTTTTAAAGAGTTATAATTATTAAAGAAATCTCACTAGTCTTCAAAAATACTAAACATTATATAAATACAATTTTCTTATAGTTGGATTCTTCAGCTAGAATCTGTATTAAAAAAGTTTCCTTTGGATTGTTTCATTTAGCACTTCAAGTCTCCATTCTGCAACTCTGGTAACTGGCTCAGATTTAGTAGGTTTCTATCAATCACATCTTTCAGAGTGTGCTACTGTGTGTTACCTGTGTACAAGAACGTCCATGGGAGGAACTGCACCAAATTCCAAAAGCAACATAAGGAAAAATTTAAGACTGTGTAATATAAAAAAAGAGAAGTACAACATGGAATCCCTTTTGTCCATTTCAATATTTTTAAAGATAATGTCCTAACTTTCATTTTTAACTTATCAAAAAGATGAAGTTTTCAGATAGCCCACCTTTATTTTTTAATTAAAAAACTAAATCAACAGACTGAATTACTTTTATTAATATACACGTCAAGTTACTGAAACGGTGACTTCATGTAGTTTTCCCCTTAAAGATGGCACTTGCAGGTACAAAGATGCAGAGATGTCTATAGCCTTCAGATGTTTACTTGAAAAGATTCTTCAACAGCAGTTTGATACTGGGTTTCCTCATCTAGCTGAAGATTCTAAAAACAATGACATTAACATATCAATAGGAAAGACATACTCCACTACTCAATACTTTGCCCAATATATTAACACACTTAAAATGGTTTATGTTGGGACGCCTGGGTGGCTCAGTTGGTTAAGTGGCTGCCTTCGGCTCAGGTCATGATCCCAGCGTCCTGGGATCGAGTCCCACATCGGGCTCCTTGCTCGGCAGGGAACCTGCTTCTCCCTCTGTCTCTGCCTGCCTCTTTGCCTACTTGTGATCTCTCTTTCTCTCTCTGACAAATAAATAAATAAAATCTTTAAAAAAAAAAATGGTTTATGTTACAATATATGCTATCCTTTAAAACATAAGATTTAAATGTCTGAACTTTAGTAATTAAGTTCAGTTGTAATTATTTAAATATAACTGATAAACAACAAGTTAGGATCAGCAGAAAATGAAATTTGAAAGTTATAGTGCTTTAAGATGAGGTAGTTAATTAAAAGTACAGTTAAAGGTAACCCACAATTTTAAGTGATAATAAATGTGTCATCTCTAGAAAACAATGTCAAATTATCTAAAAAATTTAATTTTAAAGAAAATAAGCATTTATTGAATTAAGAGAACTAAATAGCAGCTTCTTAATCCTAACATGAAGCTAAAAACTATAGCTTCCTCAATCTTAGTTACACCACCCTCCCTCACTTAATTCTACTTGCTGCTATCAGTTATGTTCTATGGGTTTGCTTTAAAATGGGCTTCCACTTGACAATCTCGAATAATTAAAATTACATACTCTTCTGTGTTAAAATAAAACTGGACAATTGATCAAAATAGATTACAATATTACAATAGATCAAAAGCGGTTTATAAAATATATTTTCATTTTTGCAAATCAGATTGTCCACAGTAAACTTTCTTAAAATGAGAATTTAAGAATCTGTATTTCATAAAAATGCTAAAATCATAAAAGTACACATGAATTTTACACATTTGAGGTGTTATTTTAAAACAATATAACTAAAAATGCAAATTCCACAAAATAAAAAAAAAAACATTTATCAATAATGATATAATTTCAGCACTGGAGAACAGAGAAAAAAATAAATTCTGTTCATGTCATTGTCAGAATTGCACATGCCTGTGCTTACCTAAACTGGAAAATAAGTATCAGCCATTCTTTATCAGGATTAATATTGAATTAGATATGGTTTTAATTCACTGTAGTTGAATAAAATGTAATTTCACAATAAAACAAAAGTCATCTAATTTCTTTAAAAAATTATAATGACACATTTGGGAGGTAGAAAGTAACCCCATTTTTGCTTTAGGGATCTTTTTTATATCTTCTCTCATGCCTGTTAAAGTGATCGTCTAAAACCAGAATCTACTCAATCTGGCTTTATTTAATAATTATGCTCCCTCTTTTTTAACAAGGATGTGGGCACCTGGCTGGCTCAGTTGGTTGGGTGTCTGCATTCGACTCTGGTAATGATCCCATGGTCCCAGAGTCCTGGGATAGAGCCCCCCTGTAAGGCTCCCTGTTCAGCGGGGAGTCTGCTCCTCCCTCTCCTCCTGTCCCTCCCCCACCTTGTGATCTCTCCTGCTCTCTCATTCACTCAATCTCTCAAATAAAATCTTTAAAAAAAATAATGTGTCTCATATGTAGATATAAGAAATCTATTATAATAAGCAACTTATACTACATGAGAACAACATTCTCCTCCATCTGTTGCACCAGTTTTACTTCTCTAAGCAGGTATAATTATCCCTTAAATCTAGACAGTTTTCACATAAATAGTCATTTTGTTCAATCTGGGGGTTTACTCGTCTTACATTAATTATCTCTCTAGTACAGGAGGTAAACAGTAAATTTAACTTGTACCACTTCCACAAATAATAGAACCGAAGTTCACCAATATTATTATATAAACAACCCTGGGGTGCCTGCATGGCTCAGTCATTAGGCATCTGCCTTTGGCTCAGGTCATGATCCCAGCATCTTGGGATGGAGCCCCATATGGGGTTCCCTGCTCAACAGGGAGCCTGCTTCTCCCCCTCTAGCTCCCCCATGCTTGTGTTCCCTCTCTCAATATCACTCTCTGTAATAAAATCTTTTAAAATAATAATAATAAATAAATAAATAATAAAAGCAATAGCTTGTCTCAAAACTCAAGTCTAGACTGAAAAAGTTAATTAAACTTGAATATTTATTTACAGGGTATTTTCTTAAGCTTAAAGAATTTCACTTACCACAAATTCTCCATAATCAAACTGATGTCTTTGATTTAGATGACTAACGAAATTTCTAGTAATCTGGCTAGGATCTCCCCAAGGAAGTGACACACAAATAGGACAGGTCTATGAGAAACAGAATGTTTTAAATATAATGAAAATATCCAAACATACTAATTATTGGAAGTATTAAAACAACACAAGCTTATGTTACTGAAAATGTCTATATAAAAATCATTTCTGGGGTGCCTAGGTGGCTCAGTGGGTTAAGCTTCTGCCTTCAGATCAGGTCATGATCTCAGGGTCCTGGGATCGAGCCCTGCATCAGGTTCTCTGCTCAGTGGGGAGCCTGCTTCCCCCTCTCTCTCTGCCTGACTGTCTGCCTACCTGCAATCTCTGTCAAACAAATAAATAAAATCTTTAAAAAAAAAAAAAAATCACTTCTAAGGTCCAAATTTCAAGAGATCATTTCCTGACCAAAGTACCTCAGATAATAGTAATCTAACACAATAAAAAAGAGATATACATTCTATTATTTATATCTCTGACCACAGAGATTTGTTTGAAGAGAAACATCACAGCCAGCCTTTAATAATGCCACAGTTGCTATCATTAGCCAGTATGTAATCTCATTTGAACCACAAATAACTATAATCACTATTAGCTTAATTTTATTTATAAGTAAAATGAAAGTGAAGTAAACTTCAAATCATATCCTTAAGGTTTTAAATAAAGGACATGCTAAAAAGTGAATGGATGATACATTCAAATCAAGTAAGAAGAAACTTTTGGTAATTGGACTCTAACCAAAGTTTGTGCTGTTTTGAAAATAATGCAGAACAAAAATTGGCCAATGCAATATAAAACAAATCAAATATCTTAAATGTGAGATGTTTTCCTGGAGAGATCTTTGGCAATTGTATTTGTTTATTAACTGACCGTCCCCTAATGAACAGAGAAGGTGGTGTGTCTCCCTTAGTGCTATGTAAGAGTTTAAATGTAGTCTCAGTAGTTACTGAGGCATATCTTTCACAACTTTTCTAGCACAACCAACTAAATCTGCTTAGAAATACCTATAATCCTTATTTTATTTATGAAATGTTCTTTCTACTCTTATTTCTGAAGAAAATACATATCAAAATGTACAGCTGAAAAGGAAGTATCTCTTCCAGCTCAGTTTCTCCTGTACCATCCACAGCTGAAATCACTTACCTGTGTAACTCATGTTCCAAAAGAGTACTTGTAGGACCATTAACACAATGCTGGAATCCTGCGGTCCACTGTCTCCCTCATTCATCAAAAAGGTCTCCCCCTTTCTTACACAGCCTCAAAATGGCATCAAAAAGATATGTATGCATCAAAAAGAAAGAATGTTTCTTTTCCTTCTGTGCTTTATGCATTCATATACTAGATTCTGCAAGGATACAATTAAAAACACCTACTGACTTCATTCTTATTTATAAAAGCTTTCACCTGCAACAGGTCCACCAGGCCAGATCCAGTTGCCTGAATCCTACAGATTAAGAAATTGAGAGGTCCCAGTAGAGGTTGGTTCTGCCATTCCTCAAATGAAAATCCCCAGTTCACCTTTCATGATTTCACTCTCCTCCAGCCTATTCTCTTACATCACCCTTGTAATAACCATCTCCCTTTCTATAAGTGAGTTAGTGGAATTATAAATATCTTATTTTGCTTTTGGTCATCAATTTTTTGTTGACAAAAGTCTACCTTATTGATAATGCCCCATCTAAGTTTAAAATCAACTACTTTCCCTTATACACATGAAGTAAATAAATGGAAGAGCATATTTAAACAGAAGACTGTCTTTTAACATAGGTACTTACCACAGGAACTATCTGAAATAGGTGATTACTGTTACAATGATCCAGTAAACGCTGTCTGGTAAAATTTGATTCTTGACACAAGGGACACTTAAAGGTAGGATGCCCAGAAGAACTATAAAATAATTTTAAATGAAATGTACTTAAGGTGAAATCGTAACAAAAATGATGCTTTCCTATTCTTTGACCAATTATTTTAAGTTTCTTTTTTTAAAAGTATACTTATTATTCAAAGATTTCCTCATTTTGCAAGAACTATTTTCCGTAAATGATCTACAACGGATGTTCCCAAACAATCTCAGTTTATAGTACCCTTAAAATGTTTCAGTACTTTTTTTTGTGGTGCCTTTGCCCTAAACAAAAACAAACCTAGCTGCCCCATATGTTAAGCAGTTACGTCCAAACAACTTAAATTTAGTCATGTGTGTAAGGCCAACAGGTGTTTCTGTAACTCTCCTGAAAGTTGTAAAGCCCTGTGGTGTCCCATATCTAGGACCTCAAAACTTTTTATTAAAAAGATTCCCATCAAGGTCAGATCCTTAGTTTATCCCAGTCTCTAGGAATCTAACATCCAAAATTCATAGAAAAAGTGAAAAACAATAGTGTCAATTATCAGAACGATCAACATTTCAAAACATTTTGAAGGATTTTTTTGAGGATCATGCATCACTGAAGTTTAATACCTCAGAATTTCAGCAAGGGACAGTTTAATACTGACATCTCTACCTAAATAATGCATGGAAAAAACCGGACCACAGTAAAAGAGGAGATCTACACTATTCTAATTTAATGTGATCTGTAAAAGCATCTGTAGCATTTATTTAATTGCTAGTCTAGCATTATGTCTGATGATTTCATTTTATAAAAAAATTTTAGGGGCGCCTGGGTGGCTCAGTGGGTTAAAGCCTCTGCCTTTGGCTCAGGTCATGATCTCAGGGTCCTGGGATCGAGCCCCACATCGGTCTTTCTGCTCAGCAGGGATCCTGCTTCCTCCTCTCGCTCTGCCTGCCTCTCTGCCTACTTGTGATCTCTGTCAAGTAAATAAATAAAAAAAAAAATCTTTAAAAAAAATTAAAAAAAATCTTTAATTAAAAAATCTATTATAAAGTGACTGAAATTATGTACTAAAGTAGTAAAATTTTCAAAAGCTTACCTTGTATTCTCTTGATAAGTTTCTGTGTTATCAGATGTAGATGTTTCACTCCTATTACTTAAGAAGAATAGAGGGGGGAAAAGTTAATACCTCAAGTAAAAAAGCACATTACAGATTCATTAACTTGAATTACTAATGAAATGACTAGTCTGAATTTTTTTAAAAGCCTGAACTTCAGGATGCCTGGGTGGCTCAGCCAGTTAAGCATCTAACTCTTGATTTTGGCTCAGGTCATGATCTCAGCGTTATGAGATTGCGCCCCATGTAGGTTCTGTGCTGGGCACGGACCCTGCTTGAGATTCTCTCTCTCCCCCTATTCCCTCCCCCACTCGCACACGCACGCCCTCTCTCTTTAAAAAAAAAAAAAGAAAGAAAGAAAGAAAAAAAAAGCCTGAACTTCAAATAGTTCTGAACTATGAAATAATTATAGCATTACTTTTTAAATAAATTCTGGTAAGAAAACTGCTTATTAAATCTTTACTTACATCCTTTTCAAATTAGTTTATGCAATTACAAATATATAGAGAATACAGAATTTTGCAGAATTATCTTAAATCCCTAGCATGATAGTATTTCCCCAGGTTCTTCAGACCTTCAAAGAGACTCTTCTACCTAGACTACCTAGTTTTTGAAAGCTGAGGTAGAAGCAAGAATCTGTGAACTTTCTGACTTGTAACTAGAATGTGGTTTAAAGATGCAGCCTCCAAAACAGAGTAGTTTTAAGAAAGATTTAAATGTTCATTATGTTCATATTTTCCAAAAAAGAAACTAGACTTTCCAACATTGAATATACAGAACAATTTGACATCTTCAGAAGGACCCTGTCCTGGAGCCATACGTCATATGCAGTATTAGAGAAATCCAGAGGGAAGAGTGGGTATGTTCCAAATGGGGACTGTCACTTATGCATTACAGAATATCATCAGAGTGGTCAATTTTATAGAAACAAAGCCTTTTAATAGCAGAAACATTAACAGAAATGAGACAGGTAGTGGGCAAAGAACTGTACCATGCAGAAGTCTGCTTTTATATCTCAATACCAGAATTAAAAGAGTTGTTAAACATAGAAAAATGCTTACTTTTTTTATAAAAAACAAAACTGTTACTATACTAGCTGCCTAACAAATGTTTTCTTTTTGAATTTTCCTTTTTTGATTTGTTTTTCATAATAAAGCTACATACAACAAGGTTTATTTAGTGTATACACCCTCCCAAAGACCGTCCCTTCTATGAAAATAACCATGTTCTCTCTCCACACACATCTATCCAATGCTGAGCCAGCAAGCGAGCTTCCCAGTTTTCACACCCAAAGAGGAAACTAGTAAACCATTATTTTCTGTACCTTTCCAGCAGATACTAATCTGTCTCTTCAGCTAAAAGTGGCATTTTAACAATGTGAAGACTAAACACCTTTTTAAAATAAACTCAAATTATGGAGACTGCATTTATTAAAGAAATGTTCTGAATTTGTCACTGAAAACAGTATGTGTCACCTATTTTTTAAAAATCTCATATCTGTATTTTTAAACTTGGTAACAGATTTTTGTAATTGTTTTTTTAAATCTTTTAAAAAAATCTTTCAAATAGGGGTGCCTGACTCACTCAGTCAGTACAGCATCTGACTCTTAATCTCAGGGTTCTGAGTTCAAGTCCCAAACTGGGCACTGAGCTTACTTAAAAAAATAAAAAATAAAAAACAAATAAAATCTTCCAAATAAATATAATCACTGGGTTTTGAATGTGTCCTTTAAAAACACTGTAACGACTTCTGGTTGGTTTGTAAGAACAACTGTAACATCATTAGGGAAGATGAAAATTTCAACAAAGCTCTTTTGACATTTAATGAATGGAACTGAAAATTTTAGTAAGCTCAACCTGTAACATACTTCTTCTATTTGGATCTATAAGCTTTTGTATGGTAAATATCTTTTTCAGCCATGACAGTCAGCAAAATCAGTATCACTGTAAAAAGAATTTAGTTTCAAATCTTTGATTATGTCATAGTGTTAAACTAAGATTTAAAAAATTTTAGGGGGCACCTGGGTGGCTTAGTCAGTTAAGCATCCAACTCTTGATTTCAGCTCAGGTCATGACCTTGGGGTAGTGAGACTGAGCCCTGTGACAGGCTCCACGCTCAGCAGGGAGTCTGCTTGAGATTCTCTCCTTTCCCCTCTCCGTCTACACCCCAACTCATGCATGTGTGTGTGTGCTCTAAGTAAATCTTTAAAAAAATTTTCTAGAAAGTATAGTCAACAATACTGGTTTTAGTAAAAGAATAAAACATTAATAAAATATCTTATACCATTAAGCAAAACTTATTTTTAAAGTAACGATTTCATCTTTAGCTCACTTAAATTTTGCCTGCTTTAAATGTACATAAAGTATTAGAAAAGTAAAATACATGCATGTTTTTTATTATTTTATTTTAACTTTAAGATTTGTGTATTTATTTTAGAGAGAAAGAGAGAGGGTGAGAGCACAGGGAGAGGCAAGGGGAAAGAAGCAGTTTCCTGCTTAGCTAGGAACCTGATGCAGAGCTGGATCTCACAACCTGGAGACTATGACCTGAGCCAAAACCAAGAGTCAGACACTTAACCAGCTGAGCCACCCAGGTGCCCCACATGCATAGTTTTAAAATAAACATACATGTACTAGGAATGCATTCTTTATTTTTTTCACTGATGGGAGTATACAACCACAAAAGTGATTTAAAACATTTTAATATCAAATTTAACGCCCTTTTCAAATGCTTTCTCCCTTCCCCCTCCCATTACAGTTCTCTATTTTCCATTATAACTGTCATTATCATCACTCTAGCCCTTCCTAATCATCCTGTACCATGTCTCAGCTACTACTGGTAGCCTATTCATTTACTCCAGAAATGCATGAATGGGTTCAACAACAGAAAGTCTATTACTGGCACCGTATTATCAATTAAAATTTTTAAAAGATCATTTCATCTGATGCAGAATAACCATTCAATAAGATGCAACCTCCATAATGGAAACAAAAACAAAAAAAATCCTGATCATTCACAATGCTTTTAAAAATACAAATGCCTACACCTTAAGTACCAGAATATCTGGGAATGGTGTCAAATGTATATAAGTTTTAATTCCATAAAAGATTCCTTTTTTTTTTTAAGATTTTATTTATTTATTTGACAGACAGAGATCACAAGTAGGCAGAGAGGCAGGCAGAGAGAGAGAGGAGGAAGCAGGCTCCCCGCTGAGCAGAGAGCCCGATGCGGGGCTCCATCCCAGGACCCTGAGATCATGACCTGAGCGGAAGGTAGAGGTTTCAATCCACTGAGCCACCCAGGCGCCCCAAAAGATTCCATTTTGAACAGAACCATTTAATGGGGAAATCTTAAATTCAGAGTGATATCATTATGACACAGATAAAAAAATACCTACGTTAAAAAACTACAGTAAACATAATACTTAATAATAAAATTTTAGATGCATTCCCACTTAAGAACAAGAAAAAGGTGCCTGCTATTTACTATTGGATAGAGATCTTAGTTAATGCAATAAATTATGACATGAAGCACTAAGACATAAAATTACATTAAAAAAAAATTTTCCACATAGTAAGTCCAAGAGAATCTACAGGTAAATTATGTGGAACTATGAGAACTAATAAGTCAACAGTTGCTAATACAACCTTAATGTAAAAATCTGGACTATTCCTACTTACTAGTAATAATCACTTAGATTACAAAACAGGAAAAAAGATCCATCTGTATACAACAGAAGTTTTACTAGGAAAAGATACAACAAAACATATTTACACATGCTCTAAATGGAATTCTTTCAGCACATTTTTAAAAAAATGCTCTTTTTAAAAAAGAGATGGGGCACCTGGGTGGCTCAGTCGGTTAAAGGTCTGCCTTCAGCTCAGGTCATGATCTCAGGGTCCTGGGATGGAGCTCCATGGCGGGCTCCCTGCTTCTCCCTCTCCCTCTGTGCCACCTCTGCCCCTCCCACTCCTGCCCTGTCTTTCTCAAATGAATAAAAAAAAAACCTTTTTAAAAAAAAGGGGAGAGGGGCACCTAGGTGGCTCAGTGGGTTAAAGCCTCTGCCTTCAGCCCAGGTCATGGTCTCAGGTTCCTGGGATCCACCCCCACCCCCAAGTCGGGCTCTCTGCTCAGCAGGGAGCCTGCTTCCCCTCCTCTCTCTCTGCCTGCCTCTCTGCCTACTTGTGATCTCTCTTTCTGTGTCCAATAAAAAAATAAAATCTGTTAAAAAAAGGGGAGGGGGGCGCCTGGATGGCTCAGTCACTAAGCATCTGCCTTCAGCTCAGGTCATGATCCTAGTGTCTGTGGATCGAGCCCCTCATGGGGCTGCCTACTCAGTGGGGAGCTTGCTTCTCCTTCTCGAGCTCCCCCATGCTTGTGTTCTTTCTCTTGCTATCTCTGTCAAATAAATAAAAATCTTTTTTAAAAAAATCACATTAAAAAAACTGGGGAAGACAAGCTATATTTCTAGCAGGGAAAATCAGGAATGTCAGTTCCCTACAAATCTATGATTTCAATGAATTCAACCTCTATAACGCTTCTGATCAAAATCTCTACAGAGATTTTCAGGAGACTCAAAAGTCTGATCCTAAAATTTATATGGAATATCAAGGGGACAAGAACAGTAGAAACAATTTTATAAGTAAACCAAGGAAGGAAATTTTCCTTACCTGATATTAAAACTTATTGTTGAATCAATAGTAATTAAGATAGCCTGATATCAGAGAAATAAGCAAATGAACAGAACAGAACAGAACACAGAGATGTGCAGGACTGAAATGGCACTGTAAATCCGTGAGAAAAAATTGACCCAATGAATGGTACTGGGACAAATGGCTAATCACATTGAGAAATTTTTCCTACCTCACATTATACATTCAAAATAAATGTGAAAAGCAGAGCTTTAAAATGTTCAAAGAAGAAAATATCTTACAACCTTGACATAGGAAAAAAATTTCTCAAGCATGACACAAAATGCAAAAATCATTTAAAAATTATATATATGTATATACAAATAAAAATATCACATTTTTGTCAA